TTTCCAAGTCATGCTTCACGTCTTCAGCATCGACTCCATTCGGTGCGCTCTGAAGTAAGATGAGACCGGCTCGTCGCACTAAAACAGTCAACACGAAAACTGACAGTGGTAGTCCTGGATGGACATACTAAGCGGGAACGAGGACAGGATGATCATGATTGAGATTCCCATAGTCGTTCCTGGATCAGCATAGTACCGACCCTCGTAATGGGTCAGCCAGATCACCAATGCCGCGGCCATCACTCCAAGGTTGTTGGCTGCGTCGCCGAGAACATGGACCAGAACCCCCATCATTCCCAGGTCGTGTGAATGAGCGACGGGCTGAGCTGTGTGTAGAACGTGTTTGTGATTGTCATGCTGGTGTATTCAACAGTCAGCATTGGTGTGAGCGTCAGGAATCGATAGCTTGCGCGACGGACCCCGGGACTTTCAGGCCTCTCTTGCCCATCGCTATCTTCTGTGCTTGACGCCGGGACTTCTATCATGGCTCGAGCTGGATGGTCATGATCATGTCCATGGTGGTGATGCTCTAACCTCTTGTTAACCACACCCCAAGTGCCAAAACGGTCAGAACACACCATGAAGAAAGGTCGCACTGATCAAATTGAGCCCTAGGCCGATAGAACCCATGATGAACATGAGTTTAGGATTCTCAACGCCTATCGACGGTCAGCTGAGGATCGGCCTTCCACCAAAAGACACCCACGCTCTATCGAGATAAATCGCTCAATGGACTGCAAAAAAACCGATATACCGAGCCCGAGCAGAAGGACCCCGTTGAAAAAGGCGCCCAGCAACTGGGCTCGCTGCCATCCGAAAGAGAGTGCTTTGGGCGAGTCATCGGCCTCAGATACCTAGCATATGCTTCAGCAGCTTTCTTATTTTGTCTCAGTGCAAAAGTTCGCCTACCCTGAGAGCTAGGAAGGCAACAATGAAGGATACCAGGTCGCTCAACTGCAACCATCAGCAATCGTCTCTCGAAGGATCATCCCAGACGCACGTAATGGAATGCATCGGCCACCAAAGCCAGGGAATGTGTGTAAAAGCCAACTATGGTATCGGATGATTAGCGACAGTGAGCATTGATCTTAACGCCCGGTGTGACAGGAGAATAGGCACCTGAGATCTCCGACGCAAAGAAGGCAGAGGAAATTGCAATGACGACCATTAAGCGCTGAGAGCGCGAGATTCTGGGTGACATGGCCCCCCTCTGTCCGGTGTAACAATGAGACGGACCACGAATGACGTGGTTGATAAAGGAGTCACGGCTGGTCGAGAACTCACCGGTCAAAGCCCTGCCCCTTACATGTCCATCTGCACCCACCCTACTGATTTTCCGTGGAACCAGGCTGAAATGTACAAATCACACGCGAGGAGAACTTCTGGAACAGCTCACAGGGTGGTCTTATAGGAAAGAAATGGGGGAAAACCCAGCAACGCTCTGCTGGCCACGCTGCTGCCTTTATATTCTCTCAGGCCTCGGGGCTTAGGGCGTTTGCATTGCAACAAACCAGAATTCCAGTCACACATCACATGCAGCTCAAAATTGTCCGCACGGTTGACTCTTACCTTCCTGAGCTATACAGGGCGCGAGTGGATACTTATTGGTGTGGCTGACACTTCGGTACGTCTTTGGAAAAAGAAACCAAATTCATTAATTATTGAGGTGCTATCATATCTCATAACTATCCAACGATTCAAACCACCTAGGCCGCGATCTCGTCCGCCAGACCATCCAACTCTCTTTGCCAGTTTCTGTGCCGCGAGATCTGCCAGACAAACCGGTCCAAAAATCCCTTGCTGTCCTTGCCAATCTTTGACGACGGCTGCAGTAGCTCTGCTGGGGAACCATGGCCGGTGACCACACCGTAACTCTCCACCACCTCACCACTGGAGGCGTGCTTCACTGCGTCCAGGTAAATCTGCTTCCAAATGAAGTCCACCGCCTCATTGAGACCGGCAATTGGTTTCAGGTGGGCGAATGACTCAGTGATCCAATACTTGGCTATGCCGTTCTTGGTCAAGGCAGCAATGTGCTTGCCTCCGGGGACGAACACTGCATCGAACAGAGTTGACCGCATACCGGGGAAATGGTGATCTGGAACTACCTTCTCACCCGACTCCGCCGTTACCCCCTGGCGCTGGGTGCCGATGGTGAAGACAAACGCTTTCTGCTTCTGCAGAGCCTCCTTCATCTTCATATATGAGTCGTAGTCGAATCCGTCCGCGATTAGGATGGCAATCCGACGAGTCGCGATCTGCGCGTCATCGGAGAGATACTCGAGCTGACTGAGTCCCTTGGATGTCTTACCCTCGTTCGGCTTACCGGCCTCGGTGGGTGTGTCGCCTCCGACATTCTTCGCCACGGTCTTGGCCAGCTCAAGGTCAACCACGGCCAAACGTTCAGACAAGCGCTTGTACACAATCTCCTCGTCGCAGTGATCCAGCTCGAACGAAAACGCCTTGGCAACGTGCTGCTTCTCAATGGGCGAAAGTGAGTTGTAGAAGAGCTGGGCTTGGTTGAAGTGTTCCTTGAACTTGTCCGATAGTCCACGTGTCTTGACGCCCTGCTGCTTCTCCGGATAGGTAGCGAATCCACCTTGGTCCGGCGCGGTAGGAGGATTGGTGCTGTACCTGTTGGGCCAGTAGTTCACCTTGCCTTTGGTGATGCGGTGTTTCATGGCGCCGTCCCGGTTGACGAGGTTCATGTACGGGCACACAGGGCGGTTGATCGGCAACTCCTCCCAGTTAGGGCCCAAGCGAGAGAGTTGGGTATCAAAGTAAGAGAAGTTTCTGCCCTGAAGCAGGGGGTCATTGGAGAAGTCGATACCGGGCACAATGTGGCTGGTGCAGAAGGCCACCTGCTCGGTTTGCGTGAAGTATTCGTCGATGTTACGGTTCAGCTCCAATTGTCCGATATACTGAATTGGCACCAGCTCCTCGGGCCAGATCTTCGTAGCATCTTCAATGTCGAACTCAAAGTCGTCCATCTTCTCTTCGGGGATAACCTGAATACCGAACTTCCATCTCGGGTATTGACCGGCGTCGATGGCATCCATGAGATCCTTGCGATGGAAATCAGGATCCTGGCCAGCAATCTTCAGGGCTTCATCCCACACCAGGGAGTGAACACCGAGCTCGGGTGTGAAGTGAAACTTGACATAGTGGCGCTGTCCTTGTGCATTGACGAGACAGAAAGTGTTGACACCGAAGCCCTGCATCATCCGGTACGACCGGGGAATCGCACGATCGGACATGACCTAAACCCATTATAAGTACTGGTTCACAGTTCCACAAATACAACCAAATGCCACTTACCCATTGCTGCATATGCGTGGTCTCCGGATGGAGATACTGGAAGTCCCAGAAGTTGTTATGAGCCGACTGTCCCTGGGGGATCTCATTGTGCGGCTCAGGCTTGACGGCGTGGATAACATCGGGAAACTTGATCGCGTCCTGGATGAAGAAGACGGGCATGTTGTTGCCGACGATATCCCAGTTCCCCTCGGCGGTATACATCTTCACGGCGAACCCGCGCACATCCCGAACGGTGTCCGCACTCCCCTTACTACCCTGCACGGTCGAGAACCGCACGAACACCGGCGTCTCGCGGGATGTGTCCGTCAATACCCCAGCCGTAGTGAGCTCGGGAATGGCCTTGTGCAGCGTGAAGGTGCCAAAGGCGCCAGCGCCTCGGGCATGAACCACACGTTCGGGGATACGCTCATGGTCGAAGCGCATGATCTGTAACATCCATTAGCAGAAGTCCTTTCTACACAGACAGACAACAGTTTTCAATGATAAACCCACCTTCTCCCTAGCAATAGGATCCTCCAACAACGAAGGCCCCGTCCTCTTCGCATCCGCCACCCGAAGCCAATGATCCGGGTCGGCGATCTTGATCCCATAATCCGTCGTCATGGGCAGCTTGCCCTGACTCTCCCCGGAGAGGTCGACGGTATCGCGCGCGAGATCTTCCTGCTTGGACATGTTGGGTTCTTGGTCGGTGTGTAATTATGTGTGTGTGGTATTAATGATTTCTCCCTCACTCGTACCTAAGTACCCTTTATATAAACCCTCAGAACCATCCTGCCTTCAGCCCTACAGCCCCCTTCCACGGACCACTCCCATCCCCCCATTTCTAATCACCGTTACTCAGCTCCTGCATCTAGCCCAGTACTATTGACCAGGAGGAACCCAGATGATGCAAGAGTTTCCATTTAGAGTGTCGATCGCCCAGTCATGTTTCTCTGTTGGGAAGTCCCGACTCCCAAGCACCAGGGTCCCATCGACATCCACGAACTTCCAGCAAGTTTGTTCGGGGGTAGTCGGCCAGTTCGGGTCAGGGTCAGGGCCATGATGTCAGTCAGGTACCCGCCCAAACCGGTTTGATACTCGGGTACTATGTAAGTAGCATTTCGCATTTCCGAGGGGTGTAAAGCTTGGTTCTGCTTATTACTGGTTTCATTCCAGTAGCATAGTCTGGTCTAGACTACGAACAAACAAATTCGCTGCATGATCTAGTTTCTTCTAGTATCTCGAGGGGGGGCTGGGGGTCTTCTCTCCGAGGATGGAGATGGGGTGACGTCATTGGAATTGGAACAGTCAGATAGGTATGTAATGAGCACGTGAGCAGATACCGGTACACATTTGTTTTCTGCTGATGTGTCTTGGTTCCAAGGATGTATACACTGTACGTGGTTGAGGAGTTCTGATATGTACTGTAGGTAGGGTCATTCAATCTCCTTAAGTACAGTACTTATGAAGGGTGGTTGGTTTATAGGATTGACTCGGTAGTAACCTATAGTACTGTCTGTACCGCAGTACAATTCCTCTGCAAGCAAGCACCTGGCAGGCACCGCGTGATCGACACTACCTTATGTTATTCGAATGAACCACCCAATTGAGTGTCCGAGATTGCAAATGACGTTCCACAGTGCGCAAGGCATGAGTATTCATGGTGCCTGAGGCCTGAGTAGATAGGTATCTAAGAGCATGCACTCTATTCTATTCTGTACAGTACACAGAAGCACCAGCTAAGAACCATCACTCATCATGCAAGCAGACCCTGACTGAGCTGTTGACCAATTCTACCCTCGCGTACCCGGGATATCCCATCCCATCTTATCCCATCTTATCCCATCTTATCCCATCTATCATGTCCTACCACCACACCCATATCTACCATCCGCGATAGCCGTAATACCCGCGCAATCCAGCTCTAGACATCTAAGACTCTAGACCATCCACTCACCCTCACCCTCACCCTCATCTTCATACCTCAAGAGCAAGAGGATTTACATATTATCCTCCGCCCAATGGCCCCTCCCCTTCAAAAACTCCTCCCTCTCCTTCGCCTTCTCCTTGGCATCAGCACTACCACCACCACCATCCTTGACTCCGCCAGCCGGAGAGGCCAACCCCCGCTCCACCCACTGCTTACTCTCCATCTCCGCGAGACGGCTCAGGGCGCGCGCAAAGGCGAAGCGCTCCTCATCGCCCGAGAAGATGGAGGTGGTCTTGAGGGCCTGCATGGACAGGCCCAAATCGTCCATCATCATGCGCATCGCGTCCGAGAGGTCGGAGTGGTCGTCGCCGGATCGGTCGGAGAGGGTGGTGCGGACGTCGGACTCGGAGAGGAAGAGGTTGGTGAGCGGGGTGGCGGTTGTGAGGACGAGTTTAGCCTTGATCCAGAAAAATTAGTACTGAGGTTGTCGACGACGACCGGGGGGTGGGATGACTCACCCGACTCTCATACACCGCATCGATGAACGTGATGAACCGTCGCGCCAGATCCCGCTGGTTCAGATTCATGCCCGGCACGTCCGTGATGATGAACGCCTCGTAGTTGCGGACCAGCTCCAGGTAGTCCGCCGCGCCCGTGGCGGTCCCGATCAGCTGCTGGAAGGAGAAGCGCGCCGCCTTGCCGCTGGCCAGCGGCACCGCGATCTTGCGGCCCCAGACCTCCTGCGTGGTCGGGTGCGGCGGGTCGTGCGTGAAGTCGCCCAGGTACTCGAACCACTTCTGCGCGTGGGCGTCGGCCGCCGGGCCGAGCGGGTGGTGGTAGACGGCCGCCGGCGGGCGCGGGATCTTGCGGTAGTCCGTCGGCGAGTTGAGGTTGATCACTTGCAGGGCAGTCTTGAGGAGGTTGATGCAGGGGATGAAGGAGTCGCGCTGGATGCCGTTCTTGTAGAGGTCGTCCGGGTGGCGGTTGGAGGTGGTGACAAGCACGACGCCGTGGGCCATGAGGTGTTCGAGGAGTCTTTTGGGAGATAGTTGTTTAGTTTTCTGAGAATTACTCTTGCCACGCGAACCATGTGGGTGTCTTCTCACCTCCGCAAAATCATCGCGTCCGCCACATCAGTACACTGGAACTCATCGAAGCACAACACGCTCGACCGCGCCGCAATGTCCGCCGCCACGATCGGGAGCCCGTCGAAATCATGGCCATACTTCATCTTGACCACGTGCATGCGCTTGTGCACGTCCTGCATGAAGTTGTGGAAGTGGATGCGGTTTTTCGCCCGTATGTTGTCCGGCAGGGTCTCGAAGAACAGGTCCATCAGCATCGTCTTGCCGCACCCGACATCGCCGTACATATACAGGCCCTTGGGCAGGGACTCGGGAATCGTCAGCTCCGACTTCGCGCTGTCGTTGTTGCGCCCGAAGAGCGAGCCGAAGAACGAGGACGACTTGGGTTTGGGGTCGAGGGATTCCGGGCTCGGGTGCACCACCGCGGGCGGGTGGTAGGAGGTCAGGCGCTCGTAGAGATCTTGGAGCTTCTCGATGATTTCTGGTTCGAAGCAACAAGTTCGTGTTAGCGACACTTCCCCGCTGGTGTTGCTTCACGCCCGGAAGGTAAAGGAGACACTTACGTCGCTGATAAGGATCATCCCGCAGGCGACCCTCCTGCACTCTCACATCATACTCGGCTAACGGACCCCCGCGCAGCCCAGCTGCACCCGGGGAGCCAGAAGAAGAGGTTTCGCCCTTCTCCTGAACTGCCGTCGCGAATCTCCGCGCATACTGACCCTGAACCCGTCTCAGGTCAACAGGGCCAGAACCGCCACAAACCCGCACGTGCGTCGACAGACGCACAGCCCGGGAATCATGATGCAAGCCCCGACGAGTGTCGCGAGAACATGCTCGACGGACTCCTCCTCCTTCCCGCGGAGCAGGTGCGGCACGACGCAGGACAGAGCCCCGGGCCCGCAATGCGCTGGGCAAGTAGTCCGCGCAGACTTTCGCCGACGAGCCGCTCATGGGTGCAGAAACCGTAAGCAGAAAGAAGAATGGAAAGAAAGAAAATCTCAAAGGCGCTTTGTAGCGATCGTCAAACGCATGTAAGCAGTGCAAAACCGGTGGAAAGCGCTTCTTCACTCCGTTTCGACCGAGGTTGCCCGGTCGGTAAATAATCGGCGGAGAGGGACAAAAAGCGGGGACGAAAGGATCGCAGTCGGAACAGTGAACGGAGGATTCAGGACACGCGATAAGAGACAAGCCGTGGGAGGAGCGATATGTACAGTATAGTCCACTTCGAGAGTCGTGACAATATACAGAAAAGAGAGACAAAACCTAGCGCAAAATTGAGAAGTACGACCAACCAACACATGGATTCCCACGAAAAGCCAAGGGGATTGACCTCGTTCCGATGCTCGTCATGTGATCTGGTTCTCGGCAATTGTTCCGATGCTGACGTAAGTAAAACCTGCGGAGACGGAAATTGTCCCGTGGTTGATTGGCTGGTCTTTCTGCACTGCCATGGATTGAATACTAAGGTAGGTGGATGGTTGATACTAGGTACTTTAAGTACATAAAAGTAAAAATGAAGTAGGTATCCACCTACAGTCGCTGGGATTATATGCAGAAGAGGGCTTATGTACACGGAACAACAACGCACGCAGAACAGGGTATGGAGGACACAATCAGCCATGGCCTGGTGGACAAAGGAAAATTCAAAGAGGGTACATGATGGCATAAACGTTTCAGACATGTCATTTTGTCATCGTATCAACCTCGTGACTCAGAACAACAACACTCGCTCAGAGGCTGATGACCAAGGGCAGAAAGAGAAGGACACCATAACACCAGTACACCCGCAACAGAACATGTTAAGGGCGAGGGCAAACGGAAAGGAAAGAACAGACAGGTCTATAAGAGATAAGAGAGGATCACCGCTTCTATGCAATTCCGACATATAGTGTGAGTTTGGAGTTTCGTGAGATCGCCGTGTCAAGGTCGGCGTCATTGGCCAAGTCGACATACGTGCCGGATGGCTCATCCTTATACTGGACGACGATTTCGTCTTGAATCTTCAGACGGTCAATCAGCTTCTCCTTCAGCTGCTGGAGACTGATATCACTAGGGACCCGGATGGCGATCAAGTCATCCTGGAAGAACACTTTAACCTTCATAGCGCCGCTGCTAGAGGTGGTAGAAACTTGGGTAATCGAACTAGGTTGGCGGTTCATGGGAGGCGGGTTGCCGTTGCCCAGAGACAGCGACGGCTGCCCCCGTTGGTGAGAGTTGCGATCAGTGTGCACGGCGATCGGAGCTTGCGAGGACTGCCGCGAGACGCTGCGCGAGGGCTCGTGCGTCGACGAATGGTGCGAGCCACCAGAGAACCGTGCGTCCTCGCCAAATGCGCTCGGATCAATCTCAAAGTCCCCAGCGCGGGGCGCGAATAATTGGCGGACCAGTTGGCAGCGGGAAATGTGAGGAGGCATGGCCAGCAATTTCTTAATGTATTCATCCAAATTCTGACGACGGCCGTTAGAGATCGCATCCGTGACGTGTGTGACAGGCCCCGGCATGTAAGGTAAAGTGCGCGGCTTCCCACGATTACCCGCTTCTTCCTCGAACTGGGTCAGGAGGGCGATCTGGAAATCGTAGAAGTCGTGGTAGTAGCGAGACAATTCCCAGCAGCGGCCGTCCTCCATCTTGGCCTCGATGATATACCAGTATTTATCATTGTCGAAGCAGTAACGAGGAATTGAGGCAGCGATAGGCGCCATGAGAGGTTGATGGTAGCTTTGTTGGGACTGATGGGAAGCTTGTTGCACAAGTGAACTCTTGCTTGCGTTGCGATTGTGGTAGGCCTGTCCCCGCACCAAATTAGCGATTGACTCTCTCCATGGATGCGCAAGGACTTAAACTCACAGACATGTGGCCGTTTTGGCTCATTTGGCTAGTGCTTTGGCGACCAATAGACATCCGATCCACTCCAGACGTGACCGACTGCATCGATGAGGAGCCATTGCTCTCAATCTTACCCAGAGTAATACTGCTGTTCTTGTACTCGGCCGTCATCTTCTTCCATTCCTCTACCTTGGGCACGCCGGCGCGCCTAACGGCCTCCAACGGATCGGTTACTGCCTGGCCGGTTTGCATGTCGCGCAACTCGATAAAAGAGACCGGGATCAGACCTGGCCCTCCCAGGCGACCGATGGGCTTAGCGACAAACCATTCCGGATTCGACTGGGCAATCACAATGATGGCCTCGCCGGCCTTCGCGTCCAGTTCATCTGGTCGCTCAGCCTGGAAGTCGTACTGAACGATGCCGTAGACCATGGGGCTCGAGCCCTTCCCTAAGGCTGACATCCTGAGCTGCGACGAGGATCGGGGAGGGCTGTGAACGAAATCGGAGGCGGGGAACGCGGCGCGATCTGAGAAACCGGAGTCGTGCGGCTCTTTCTTTTTAAAGAAGTCGACAGAGCCGACGCTATCTCTCTCGTTCTTACCGATGACTTCGAAGAAGGACACGGGAACCAACCCCCTAGCACTAGGGATGAGGGGATTGCACGCTTCGTACCAATCCTGGTCTTCCTCCCTGCTGATAACGTGAAAGAAGTCTCCCTTGCTGAACGCAAGCTCCTGTGTGTTCCCGGGCTCCGGTTGGTAATCGAAGAGCGCTTTGATAACCTATGCGCAAAACAGGGATGTTAAGTTAACAGCTGTTTGCGAGCAAATGATTTGTCCGTCTTTGACGCCGGCGACCCAAGGGCGGATGCGTAGAAAAACAAATCCCACACCCCACAAACAGAAGCGATCGGGATCAAGTAGTCATGGAAGGAAGAAATAGGATGAAGGAGGGGTACAAAAGGGGGGGGGTAAGTGATTAAGTTATGTAAAAGAGTCAAAAATAGTGACAAAGCATAAAAAGAGGGAAAAGAACAAGAATGGGATGTGGAGACATGGGCAAGTGAAGATTTGGGGGGTGGAGGATGTGGAAAGTGGAACGGGAAAGGTGCAGCAGCCAAAACCAGACATAACGTACCTTCTTCGGCGGGAGGATGGCGATGGCGGACTTGGGCGTGATGGAAAGATGGTGATGATGATGGTGGGGTTTGGGATCTTTCTCCCCTTTCAGTGAACGTCGAATGGCCTATGAATGATGCGGGGGCCGGCGTTAGATTAGATTAAGAGTAATTGATAAAATGACGGAATGAAAGAAAGGAAAGAGTGTATGAGTGAAGGTGGAAAAGAAATCGCCTCAAAATGGAGGATAGACTAGAGACGGATCTCGAGGACTGGCAGAAAGAGAAACCGCAATCGCAAACAACCAAGCGGGCGGCCAGCCCAGCCAGCCCAAAGTCGGTCGTTGTTGCTAGTAATTAATTTTGGTCTCGGAACAAGAACAAGCGACAATCGAGATAAAACGAGGGGCGGGAAACGAGGGGCGTTAAAGCTGGATCGGATCCAGTTTGCAAGTTTCAGCAATTGCGAAACATACCTTCATTCTTGTTTCGGCAAGTCGGCCTGTCTTAAGTTGACTTGCGCCCCGACAGATGTTTGAGATGTCACCGGCTGTGTTCAATCTATCTATCAATCAAGCGATCGATAGTAGTGAGAGTATAATATAATATAAGGCTCAGGGACCAGGACAAGAAGTTCATTCACTTTTTCAAAGAACTCCGGGTCATCAGCCACCACACGGGAGAAAAGGAAAGGGAGGACAGGCAGGCGGATTCAGGCAATGAAAGACTTGTACAAAGAGAAACTCGGATGGAGGCAACACCCTTTTTAGGAAGAACCGTAGAAGGTCTATGGAAGGAATGGAATCAAGAGGGAAGGATAAAAAAAATAAAGTTTTATGAACAATGAGAAGAGAAAAAAAAAGAATGTTGTTCAGAGAGAGAGTGTGTGTGAGAGAGAGAGAGAGACACGTCTGGTTGAGCAAGATGATAAAGGGAAAGGAGGGGCGGCAGTTGAAGAGTACTGATAATAAATCAGATGGAAGTGTCCGAGTACTAATAGGTAATAATAGTAATGAACTGCGCGCACCCTGTCGAGGGTTGACTCGATTGACAGAATGGATGGACTGGATGGGCAGATAGGGAGTGTTTCTTGCCCTCCTATTTTGTTTTTTCTGTTGCGATTTTTTTTTCCCTGTCTTCCCTTGCCTTTACTCAACTGGATCTTTTTTTTAGTCGTCCCAGAATTAACCACGGGTGAACCTGTAACGTGGATTGGAGGGAGGGAAGGGAGAGGTGGAGGAAAAGAAGTTCTGGATTGCGACAACGCAAGAAGAAGGTGGCCCGCTTTTCCTTTGAAAGGGCCCCGCCCCTGAAGATGTCGATGTTGATAAGTTGCTGGACAATGGAGGGGATCCACGCGCAACCCGGCCCTGCGCCAGTGATGTGTATGGTTGCGTCTTATTCTTTTCCTCCTTGCGACAGTGGTGGCAGCTTGAAGGTGGTGAACGAGGTTGCAGATGGTTTGGAGAGAAGAGGCAAGAAGTCTGTCTGTCTGTCTGGATGGCTGGATGGCTGGTGGCTTGCGACCCAGTGGATGGGAAGGTGGCCGTTGATCGATGAACTGTGGGGAGGAAACAGTGTGCACTGTGGACTGACTGACTCACTGATGGACTGATGGGACTCAAAGGACAAGATAATTCGGAGAAGAGAAGAACGAACTGCTTGCTGGTAATGATGGTGATGGTGGTGGTGGTGGTGGTTCAACTGTGGCGGGAAAACTCCAGCTACCCCAAACCCGGTTGATTGGGTGTCCCCCCAGCCCTGTGATCGCAAGGATAAAAAACTTAGAAGTAGGGTGTGGCAAGAAGGTCTGTTAAGCTGTTGGGTCTGTCTGTCATCATGCGATAGCCGTTACGATGATGGGAACTCGTCTCGGATAACTGTGGGTGCCGCCGATGATCGCGGGTCTCTTGTCTTACTCGTACTGGAGTGATCTACTTGAGTATGAGTATATGTAGTGATGTGCAGAAAACTGTATGGAGTACTCTCGTGGTCGATTTACATCAGCAGAAGAGAAACGACGACAGTCTGCGCATTCAATCAGTTCCCATGTGGTTGATAGGACAAGTGATAGTCTATATGTATCTCAACAGAAAATTCTAGCAGACTACTAAGTCATACAACAAACGTACTGAGTATGATGTGTGTGTGTGCGTGTGTGTGTGCCTCACTGCCTAAAGGCGCTCACCTCAAACCTGAGAAGCTCAGCTGCTGACCTCCCCGACGGTCCTTCAATTTAGATCTTCTCACCAGCGGATGTTACTCCCCGGCCCTGCTGCATGGATGTATGCCCTATTCTGATGCCTACCGGCCCTGTCTCTCCATCACCTTGATTCGGACCTGCAATCAAGGCCCTTGACTTATTTTTTATTTGCTTTTTTTCTTCCCTTGAACAGAAAAAAAAGGGACCCCCTTCACTTTCTCTGCAGTGTGATCAACAAGCCCCCCCTGGACGGAGGTTGGGCACACTACACCGCACCAGTGCCAAACAGGAAGAACATCCGCAGTAGGATTGGATACCAACCAGCTCGTTGGAGTTGGAAAGATGGAAAATAGAAGCACAAACCTTTTTCCCCGGGAAACTAATCAGGAGCCGAAGGTACTAGAATTGTTCCCAAGGACAGTCAGACCGTACTTTTCTCACTCACCCACGTTGTGTGATACCGTATAAGTTACCGTGGACCAGACTTTTGGCTTATCGGAGAACGAAATCTGATAATATTAATTGGGCACTCCAGTCCGGGAACTGCAGTGGAGTGCGTTCGTCGGTCGGAGGTGGTCTGTGGGCAGGCTGTGGGCTGGGTGGCACTGGTGGCACTGGTGGCACTGGGGTTGCTGCGTGCGGGTGTGACGACTCGGCTTGACTCGTTCACAGTTCACAATTCAATATCCTCAATAACCAAGAAATCAGTATGAAAGCATTATGTCTTAGAGCATAGGATATAGTTAACAGCCAGCATAGTAGAAGACATTCCCCCGAAGAGCCCCCCGACACACGGCGAAGATCTACCTCGAATTCTGGTTATCAGCCCAGGAATTATTGGGTAGAGAGCCGGGAGGGGCTTGCGACCATTCCTCGGTTGGCTCTTCTGGCTGATATGAGTGAGTGAGTGAGTGAGCGAGTGAGCTCGGACGGGGAACAGAACAGATGAGCAAAAATGCTTAAACTCTTGCCTTGCCATCCACGGATTACCAGAAACTCTGTTCTCGCCCATTTCCAGCCAGCTCAAGAAAAGGAAAAGGTGCAGAGTTAATCAAGCTTGTTTAGCCGGTCAACTTATCCGGTCCAAGATGGAATATTGGGATTAATTCATAATTGCGGGTGTACAGTACCGCACTGTACCTACGTAGTTGCAACTCCACTCGCTGTCTAGTACAGCAACTTGATACTTGACTTTCCTTTTCTGATAATTTGGAGACTTGAGATATTGCCATGTGGCGACCTACACTTGAAACAAAATGACTCCTTGACTCTATCTGCTCCGAAATCCCTCAGGGACCAATTCAATTCTTTCCCCCGTCAAAGAAAAGTACTTCCTGAACTTCCTTCAGTGGGCTTCCCTCCCGAAGACGAACACTCGGAACCGCCGATGTCTGCAAGCCTGCAGAGCTGCTGCAGACGCCCTTGCAGATTGACGGGTTCGTTGCAGCAAATCTCCAGCACTAATGTACGCGGTCGATTTGGAGGAGGACACCTTGATTCTATATCGCATCTAGGTATATTGCCAAGCCGGGCGTAGTAGCTTCTGAAGCAATATGTAAGGTTCATATCGATCGTATTCTTGTAGGAAAGAGGTTGGTTCTGGAGTGCTCTCCATTCAAAGTTTTAACCATTGACGGGCCTAGAACGGAGCTACCGCATCAATATGTGTACAATATGTACAGGCTGATGGGTTTTCCTGCCACAGTACGGCCTGGCCAACAAGCATAACTCTCGACTGACATCGCTGTAGATCTAGATGCCCTCAACCCAACCAAAGAATCAATCAACCAACCAACCTCACAATATTTCTCTGTGCGCTTGCAGCCCTCGATTCCATGGCGTACGAAGTAGCAAGCCTTAGCAGCACACCAATCTCCTCCCAGCATCACTTCACAGACCCCAACTCCAACAACAACAACTCAACCCATAACCCTCACAACCACACCACCTACCTACCCCGAAGCCACCCATCGCCCCTCACCCCTCCAGCACCAACAAACCCTCCCACGAAAGCTCCCCTAATACTCTATACCACCCAGCGCAACCGAAACAAGGCCCCGTAAACCGCGACATCCCAAAGCACCAATGACATCAAGCGTGCATAACAACGTGGAGCATCCCGAGATCCATCAGACCGATCACATTTGGCGGTTCCGGCAGATAAAGTAGTGTAAGTTAGCGTCCCTAAAAGTCAGCTACTGCATGGCCACTGTGGAGGGTAAGATGATATGTCACATCGATGACGTTTGAAACACTGTAAGTTAAGCTGCGTTGTTTCATACTTACGGATAGGGTCGGCTTCTTTGGTGCTTGGTGTCTTATATCCAGGTTTCATCTTGCTGGAGGGGGGATGAGCTACACACACATACACACACACACACACACACACACACACACACACACATAGTCGGTCATAAGAAGGGGGGCTAGTACTGTTTGGTGTTGAGAATGAAAACAACCAGTGCAATGCTAGTGACGGGTGGTAGATAGTAGACCGTATGTTATTGCGATGGTGGAAATGGTGGAAAGGCCCGGTCTAGACCTTTATGCTGATCATCGAGGGATGCATCAGAAAATACTACTATGCTGTATACTCGACTCAGGATCCAAGATTCCGGAAGATGGGGATCTCTTTCTCCCCGAGTTGAAGCTCCTGCCTTGTTTTAATCAATCATAGGCAGTTTACTTGGCCATCAAAGATTCAATTGCCTGAAGAAAAGTGCGGGAAATCACTTCCGACTCCCGGAGTGAGAATCCATCGGGTGGAGATTATAGATAATCGCGCAAGCTGAGACGCTTGGCCAAGACATGTCCAGTCCCATTGCTCGCCCTGGTTCTACTTCCGCACCCTGAGAAAATGAATACAACAAAATCCTCGTATTCAATTGCACTACCGAGATTTATCGAACTAAAGGTTAGAAGTACTGTTCTGCCTCATCCCCACTCCGGCTCGCAAGAAAATCCCGGCTCAACCAACGCTTCCCGGAGTCGAAATGGGTATAGATCTCCTCACTTCGACGAAAATCAATATCCAGACGCCTGCGATGCCGATAAAAAGATATTTTGGTGTGCCGCAAGAAAAGAGAAAAGGGAATACGATGGGGTAAAATGATCTGGAAAGATGACTCCAAACACCATGACGATAGAAGGAAAACTGATATGTCGAGGGTACGCAAGAGTATCCAGAAGGTGATGTAGAATGAAAATGTGTAGAGTGGCTTGAAAGAAACAGAGATGAACTTAGATCTGGCCCTTGATATCGACGATCCGATGAGCATCGGCCTTGGCAGCTTCAAAGAGCTGGCCGGCCCTGGGCCCCGTCACGAGTCTCACAGATCCCTCCTTCTCCTGAAGCAGATCCTCAGCGGAATGATCCAGAATGAAGCGTGCACTCTGCTCATCGGACTCGAAACCAAGTTCTTCGGTGATAAATCGGATTTTTACGTCGGGTTTGTATCTAATTTCGAGGTTAGCAAGTGAGTCAAGCCGGCGAACAGGTACCACTCACGCTTTACAAATTGCTGCTAAGGCCGACAATCGCTCGCGATCCACAAACATGTCCATGAGATAAGCTCCCATGTTCGGGGTATCAAGGTACAACTGGAAAAATCGGTGGTAGTTTCCGAGAGCAAGGGCAGAGCGTACATCCAAGGCATGTTTCACAGCAGGATCCCGTTTGTCTGCTGGGGTTAGATCGGCTAAAGCATCGTTCATGGCCGTCCAATTGCGAGTATGAATGAAGTAGAGAATACGATATGCCCGGAATTCTGTGGGATGCCCGCCAAGCTGCTGTGCATACAGTGCGCGAAGCTGAGTCTGACACTGATTATACTCACCAAGGTCCCCTTTCTCTAATGCGATTCGGGCGTGAATCTCGTAGACGCTGACAGTAAATTCGTTCTTAATATGCTGCACTGTCAGATCTTGCCGCAACGACTTAAACTGGTCACAGATATATGTATAGTTGTTGTCTTTTTTCCACTTCTTCTTCAGCACGTCCAAGGTCTTATGCAAAATATGCAAGGGCCGCACGGTCTCCGGCTTCGGTGCGGCAGTCAGGCGGAAATAGTTCTTTTCCAACTCCTGGCAAGTTCCGACAACAGGGCCGGTGTTCGCAGCAGGGACGGGTGAGGTGCCGCGGGACGACGCGGAGGAACCATTAGAAGCCTGAGGCTCTTCGAAGCGTTTCCTCCGCATTTCCAGATTGGCTTTAGACTTACTAGTATTTTTCAAATCTATTCTTTGGCGCTTATCAGTTGAGGCATAGGTGATTCGATCTTCAAAAGCATTGTGATTGTTAGTTTTCCGCCAAGGGGGACAGCCGTTCGCATCCCCTTGGTACTCAACCGACTTCCGCTTCTTCGACACGTCTTCCAGCCCGTTGCTATTGGATTTCTTGGGTGAGAGTGTGCCGAAGGTGCCCCAAGTCGATACGCTAGGGCTAGCTAATATCTTGTTTCGATCATTCTGAACCATGACTTGAGGCAGGGGCAAGTTGGTCCAATCGATCTTATCGAGCATATTATTCTCGGCCGCTTCGGTGATGACGGCTCGGAGTTTGGTTTCCATCTCGCCTCGCTCGACTCCAGCGAGCCGATTTTCAGGTGCAAAACTGCGTTGTACGTACAATCGCACCGGTTCTGGCCACTCTACTCGTTGTTTGCGGGTGGCGGTTTCCGTAGATGTTTGGTGCGACGAAGCCGGTGTTGGGGCAGAGATCGTTGTTTTGGCAGTGGTAATACTACGGCGTGCTTGAACAGGGGTATAGGCAGGGGTTGCTATCGTCCTGGTTAGTATCGATGGGGTAAGTGAGTGATGGATGCACATACCATGACTCGAGTACAGAGAAGCCGTGGCGGTAGGTGCTGCCGCCGTGGCACGCCAAGGTGGAATACCAGCACTCATATTGGACACAGGTCTAAACGAGGCCAACAAGAGATAAGGGGGAAGCGAAGGGTGAAAGGCAAGAAAAAGAAGTATGAGCTACGAGTGAGTTGATTTCGATATTATAGGAGACAGGTCAAAACATCGTTCCTACACAGACAGAGCAAAGACGACAGTATCAGGAGAAAGATGTATGTTTGCCGCCACGAATCCACAAGAGGGGCGAAGTCTTGAAGTTGTCTGCGGGAGATTCGATAAAAGACGAAGCGTTTTCACAAAAAAAAGAGAGGGGGAGGAGAAGGGGAATAAGGAGGAGAGAGGAACGAGGGAGGACAAGTCAAGCTGCTTACCGCTCAGTCAGTTTCCACTTCATCCGGTGGCGGAGATTTTCCCTTGACGCCAGTGGATGATGTCGCTTGCCGTAGTTTCTACCCCCTGCCCCGTTGATTGATTACGTTAGCAGTCTCGCCGATGATCTAAACTTACCGATAACGAAGAGGGAGAGACCCCCATCGTCATCCTCCCAAACAGTCAAACGAATCTTTCAATCAAACTTCAAAACAAGAAAAGACATTGTCCTCTTCCCAGCTCGACCGGCGAAGAGATGCTGTTTGGTTCTACTAGATGTTCTTCAAGCCTTTGGATCTAACTACCGCACTTCGACCTGCACTTTTGCCCGATGAAACCTTATTATTTGTCCAGGATGCGGTGGGGTTGTACGAAGGGTAAGTCGCCAGCGGTTCCTTTGAACAGGGTAGAATGCATGCATGCAAATGTGTGCCCCTTGGATCAACCTCGATCACGGGATGATAATGTTGCGGCAATGGTAGGAAATACAAAATTCCCAACTATCAGAATGGCCATGCATACTTGACCTCGCACCGGGTGTGCTATGTCGCGCTCGAGGATCCACGGAAGTACTCTGTCGCCATCGATCTGAAAGAGGTTGACAGGGCGGAGTATCAGGTATGACGCACCTGGAGTTATCCTCTGTTCAATCGTTGATTTTATTCAGGCAGGTTTCCTGAAATCATCACCGAAGATCACATTATATCCGAAGCCGCCAAAGAGCTCCCTCAGCAAATCGAAGAGCGCTGGCGCAAGCCCATCTCGGGGGCATTCACCGGGTCTTCTGGCCCCTAGACCGCAGATTCAGCCTGTCACTCCCAAGGCCATCAATGCGACTTGGGTCTGTCCCATCTGCTCGTTTTCAAATCCCGTGCCTTCGAACTTTGACCCCTCTACAGCCACAGCGTCGACACCAATCCCACCTTGTTTAGCTTGTGGCATTAAACCACCTTTGGCTACGATTCTAAAAGCTGTAATCACCGCCACATCCGGCCGAGATGGTCCTCCAACCCAATCCAATCCGACTTTGTCCGGGCTTGGAGGCCTAGCTCCAGTCAACGGCTCTCGGAGCTTATCCTCTTCGGATAACGCTCAGCTGTCATGTCCACGTTGCACATTTGTGAATCACCCATCTCTCACCGAATGTGAGATTTGTGGTGCGTCCCTGGCAGCGGCGGTGGGTGCTTTGAACTCTACCCAGATTGATTCGTATCGCGCAGAATCGCCAGCACCCGTTTTCAGCCATAATAGCATCAAGAGCACGGAGATTACTGACTGTATGAAATTGTCTTTCCGGGCCGGTGGTATACAGATCTTTCATGAGAGATTGAAAGGCGCTTTAATTCAGAGAAAATGGTTGCTTTATGATGCCCCGCCCGTGCCGCAGCAGCCGTCGCAATCGAACGCGATCGCTTCCCCGGGCTTAACTGTGACTTCACCTGCGGAAGGAAGTGTGCCATCGCCCTCCCGGTCTCCTGGAGTGGGCATTGCAGGCCTCGAACAGCGAGGTCTCCAGGCTCGCAAGAACAATGAACTTGTCATCGGAAATGCATTTGAGGACTTAGAGGCGCTGATGGCATCGGCCAAGCAGGTGATGGCGCTTGCTGCATCTATGCGAGAGACGGGCATGACCAATGGCGATCTCTCAGGAGAAGCGAATGCAGTCCTTCTGGAGTCTGCGGAAACGATGGGGATGGTGACGACTAAGGATATGCTTGGTAGTGGCGCTGGAAGCTTGTACATCTCCGAACTCTCACGGAATCTGGCCGAATACTTGACCGACGACCGCAAGGGCTTGCTCAACAAAGAAGGCGGCATCATAAGCCTTATTGATCTCTGGGCGATATTCAACCGGTCTCGGAACGGTGTTGAGCTCGTCAGCCCCTCCGATTTCCAGAAGGCAGCGGAGCTATGGGAGACACTTAGACTGCCGGTGCGCCTACGCCAATTCAAAAGTGGCTTGCTTGTTGTTCAGAGGTGGGACTGGAGTGATGAAGAGACCCTCCGAAAGATACAGACGTGGATGACAGAGCTCCGACAAGTGCCTCCAACGGAAACAGTTTCCTGGGACTGGCGTATGTTTGGACGTGCCGTCACTGCCCAGGAAGCAGCACAGCGATTTGGATGGAGCGTAGGTGTTGCAGCGGAGGAGTTAGAAATGGCCGAGGACAAGGGGGTTCTTTGCCGGGAGGAGGGCATTGAAGGTTTGCGATTCTGGGCCAACTTTCTGTCTGAAACCTCCATTGTCGGTGATTTGGGTTTGTCAGGAATAGTTCTAGACGAGGTCAATAGATGTACCTGAGCAGCATTATTATAGAAAACAATTGGTGTTGACAGAAGGCAGACATGCTTGGGTTCGTGGAGTCTGGGACGAAAAGACATAAAGATAGCAGATAATGGGCTCAGTGGTGCCATTGAACCATTATTTGAGTGTCATCTCGAGCACATACTTTCGGCCAGCATCAATACCGAGTTCAGAAGTGAGAGAGATGTCATGGTAGCTGACTCAGCCCCCTAACCCCGCATTGACCGACTGGTCTTATCGGAGCTCTCTCCACCCTATCGTCTTATCACTCACAACTTGCCTTCATGGTCTTGTTCAATGCATGTTGTCAAACTCCTTCATCGACTTGGGACTTGGGAACTTTCGGTCCCATACTACTATTTTGCCTACAAAGCTAGTCTCCGGCCTATCTCAGGCCTCTGTCTCCGCTCGTCACTACATCGTTCGATGTGACTGTCTATAGCCTCGCGGCCATCTCGGTCTGAGGTCATCGTTGCTCACCTGTTTTGTCCCGTCTTTGGCTTCTCGTATCCAAGACCCAAGCTTCCTCAAGTGAAAAGGGCAGCAACATGGGCATTTCAATGACAACATGGCATATGAAAGCAATTAGGGGGTCCGGACTTCTGTCCGGCACTTACCCTCTCGCTGTACACTCCGTTTCGTCTCGACTCGTGATATCCTCCTCCAAGCACCGCAAGCTATCGCGCTGCTCTCACAACCATCGACATGGCCCTGACTTCCACAAGAAGCACATCTATGAGCATCAACACCTTTGTGAACCTCGGATGCGAACCAGACCGACCCGTCGAGCTCGACCAGTAGATTCTATCGTTGAGGATCATCAGCCGTGGTGGAGCCATACCTGGAGCTCAAGCCTGCCTTTTCAGAAGATCAGCAAAAAGTCCTCAAGGCATCCAAGCTCTTATAAAGACTTTTGGGAAATGGAGGTGAACCGTACTCGTCACACGATGGATCACATAAAGCAGGCAATTGAAAATGACCCTTACGGAGCTATCTTTGGAAGGAGACTTGAGCCATTGAAGTCTTTTGAGAGATTCGATAAGACTTTTACATCCTTATGTCGTACGCTGTTTGGGCTCGGTGACAAATCCTTGGACAAGGCTCATGCGGATATAGCCCATGGGACGCCGCGTACCATGACGACCACGGCAAGGTCTAAAAAGACCTCGGACACGCTCAAGAAACCTCAGCCAACCGAGTCAGGTAAGCCAAGAGGCCCAGTCGCGATTCACACAAAGAAGAATGTCACGAGATACGAGTTCGACCCTATTAGCGGTCGTATGATTCCTAAGAAAGCCAAGAATCCGGATGTTGCTGAGAAAGGTGAAGGTGGGAGAAGCCCAGTTCTTTCGGCTGCGGACACTACCTCCGCCTTGGAGACTACCGGCTATATGTCTCCTCTAATCCGAGATCCAGTGGAGTCTGGCTCTCAGGATGCTTATATTCAGGAAAAATGTAATGGTGACTTGGCGACAGACGTTGCACCAATGACGGTCGTGAAAAATCAATCGCAGAAGACCCCACCTCGCGCCGATTCGGAAACGGCTCAGACTGAGTCTACAGATTATCTCAAGTTCTCCGAGCGCTCTTCAGATTCACCGGAAGCGACTGGTAGCCCTACGGAAAGAGCAGCACGAGAGTCAGCCCAACAGGAGAACCTGTCCGAATTTCCAGATAGCGACTCGGTCAAGCCATTCTTAAGACATGATGCGCACCAAGGAGCCATACAATCGCAATCACTTTCTGAAGATCACATACCTACCCTGGAAATGGACGGTCCGGTCACCAATGATAAGCCCACTTCTTCGAATTTCGCCAAACTGAACGAGATTGGAGAGGACTTGGCAAGATCACAGAACACATGTCGGAAACAGGAAGAAGAAGAGCTAGAGTCCTTGAGTGCAAGCGATATCCGTGCCTCATATCTGAGGAAGGAGCCAGATCTCGATGCTCGCGCATCACAAGACTCGAATGAGTCGAATGAAATGTTGAACTCCCAAACCAACACTACTGGCCAAGTTGATACAAGCATTGACCCGGGCAATGAATGTTTTCAAGAGGCAACTGACCAAGGCCTTTCATCCACAACAGAGGACTTGGTAGTCTCGGACAAGTTTCAAGATGTGGCCTCAGAGACAGCAATTGCCTCGGATCAACTCGCCTTGAATGAAGTACAGGGAGCTGTGCCGTCTTCGAACTCACCCATAACTGTTCCGCACAACCTCTTTGGTCAGGTAAACGCCGAGACTTATCGCGTGCTCGCATTTGATCCCATCGCTATTAGTATAACCGAAGCAGAAACAAGCTCATCTTTCCATCCGCCAGATGAAATCTCTCACCCCGCCGAGATACTCAACCGCCTGAACAATCCTGCAAAGTTCTTACCGTACTTTGAGAAGTTGAATGACAATGGGTATGAGATTGTCTCTGGTGGTGGGGATGTTCTCGTCTTCAGAAAGACGCGAAATTCGTTTGAGCAGATCGAAGGAGCCAATGCCGACCCTAAGAAGGGCACAACGCTGTCTTCATCAACATTTAATGACCAGCAGCAGCACGAACAAAACCCTGACATTGTACTTCAAGGATCACAAAGCACCACATCCGGGACCGGGGAAAAGGCCTCGCAAGGAAGTAAGTCTGCGAAATTCCTCCGCAGAATGCTTCTTGGTGGCGTGGCTACTGCTGGAACTTGCTACGCGCTAGGCGTTGTCACTGAGTATTTCCGCACTGGTGGAGAAGACGGGCGTGGAATCGATGCCTTTACAGCATTCGAGTCCGAACGCCGCCGTCGTGAATGACTTCCTAGTTGAATGTCTACTTGATTCTGGAACCAATTGGGCGCCACATTTGGTATTAAGATTGGACGTATCTCCTCTCAATGTAAATTACAGATTGCCTCCTGCGTCAAGCCAGCCACCAATTCTTCCTAGTTACTCCAACATCACGACATGTAATGGAATTCTCGAACGGACACAAGCAAAACCCCGATGGCGCACCTGCTCAAAAGACACATGGCCAGTTCTTCCCAAGTCTTGTCAGAGCACCGTGCCAATTAACAAACCATGCAAATAATCAATGCACATCATGAGCACGGTAATCGTGCAATGCTGTTGTCGACGAAAGATCCAATCACAACCATGCTCATCTGTTTGAGCTGATCTGCACCAAGTTGGCTGCAATGCTGCCGCTCTCACTCAATGCCTGCATCCTGTTCGTCACTCACCTCTCCGTGCTCATCATCCTCACTTCCATACATATCCAAATCAGCATCCTGCTCGACTCCAAGCTCCGTCTCATAATCGTCGAGGTTTTCATAATCAGGATTCTGGTCCGAGGAATCAAGACTAACCCCAACTCCATCTTCATCCTCCTCTTCATCCTCAAGGCCCCAATTGTACCTCCAGAACCAAGCGTACTCGTCCTCATCGTAATCGTTACTGCGATCCTGCCTCTTAGGCCACCGCCAAAACATCCTCTGCACCGAGCCAACCCGAGCCGTGCCACTCATCAGATACCGACAGAGCCCCGAGACCAGACGCACAGCCCCACGGAACCCCTCCCAGGTCCAGAGGTCATACTCCTGACTCACCAGGACCTGGAACACCCTGCAATCCTGGTTCAGCGCCTGCTCGATGGTCCCCTCGGTGTCGGCGCCGCGATCCAAACGGAACCATTTGATCTGCTCCAAGACCTTGCGGATCTGCCTTGTCTCGAGGCGAGTGCGCAGCGCCCTGCGATCGCCGTCCGCGTCACCGAGAAGACTCAGGGCGAGATTCTGGGCGAAGTGGGAGGGCAGGGAGGTGTACGTTTCCCCGTGGACGAAACCTTCGTGCGTGTGGGAGCGGATCTGGGAGGTCTTGAACCCCGGAGCGACCAGGCGGAGCAGGTGAAGGTGCGACCCGTGCAGGTGGAGGAGATACGCATCTTGGTCCGCAAGGCTGAAGATGTTGTTGGTTAGGTCCCGCATCTGATAGCAGAACTGTCCGACGAGGATCTCGACGGACTTCTGGAAGTGCGCGGGGACGGTGATGTGGGGGTTGTCGGTCTGCAGATGTAGGGTTAGTGTGTGGACGTTGATTTGAGGGAGCTTTGGGAGGCGGGGGGTAAAGGTGGGGTGAATCCAAAGTAGGTCGACATCCGACTGAAGAATGAGGGAACAAAACGCTATGCTTACCACTGTGATGGGAACCACATTACGGCTGAAGACGCGCTCGTTCGGATGATCCACCGTCAGGAAAGCGTGGGTTTCAGGCCCAGTATAGGTTGCCCTCCTTCTGCTGATGCTGTTCATGAAATACGCGATCCGCTTCCGGCGGTACCGAGGGCTGTATTCCTGTCAGTCACATGTCTGTTCTCTTTCTTTTCGCTTATGACAAACCAAAAGACCGGAGTGATACATACGTCAGAGACAGCTTGGACTTCCCATCGGGGGTCCTGTGAGCGATCGAGGCACCCTTCAGGATATCCTGCAGGAAGGACACGATGGCACGCTGCTGCAGCCTCACGATCCGGGTGAAACGCCGCGCCTCGGTCTCGTCCAGGGGCCGATTGTCGGTAGGCAGCCCTGTGGCCTCATACCCACCGGCAAGCAGACCCTCTCGGAGGCAAGGATTCTCAATCAAGCTCGCGAAGGTCATGCGGAATCGCGGGTCCCATTGACTCCATTTCGCGAAGTCGATGACCCCCTTCTGAGTTCGGAAGGCATGCATGATCCATGGAGAGATTTTATAATCATCTGATTCGTCATTCAGCAATTATCGATCAGGCAACAGAGACTGGGGGACTTACTTGAAGCCTCTGCAAGTTCAAGGTAGCGCCGGGGAACGAAATCCTCCTCAGCATGGTTCAGCTCCGTGCGGAAGTAAGTCCTATGTATCTCGACCACAAAGTGATCTGGCAGATTCACCGCAGGCATGAGATGTGGGACTGAAGTGGTGGTGAGTGGCTGCGCCATGTTTCTCACGGCTGTATTGGACAGGGGATGAGCGGGAGGCTTTTCGTTGTCTGCCATGGTTTGTGAGGGTGAGAGAGTGTGAGAAGAGGGTAAGGAGGAGAAGAGGAATAGGGAGAGAAAGTTAAAGAGGAGAAAGACGGGGAGGAAGAGAGAGAAACACGCTCTCCTGGCCAGGTGAAGGAAATTTCTGAGAGACATGGCAATCGCCGCGGCGATGAGGTTACGTTGTCGTCTGGGTACACGCTTTGCTGGTGCGTGTTCTGTGGTGTTTTGCTGGGTGCACCGGCGAACCACAAGATGTCAGGCGGAGACAAGGCTTTGCTCTGTTGGTCCTTTGCTGGTCAGATGGTCTCAAGTTCTAAGGGCTCTTTGTGTGGTTCATACCTGGCTGTTGGATTTTATCTTCGTTATGAGTCTGAAGCAGTGTAGAGCTGTGGGATCCATCAACCGACATACAGATATTCGAGTAAAACAGATGTTTTAAATCCCATGATATCTAATCTTCAGACATACATTCTGCCTAGGGCACTGGTCATTGCTAATTGGGAGTACAAGGATAGCTAATGATGTTTATGCTGCAGCCGAAGCTTCTTGTTGAACCTGGATAAAAACAGACAAATATATAGCGCTTCCAACCACCACCACTACTGCAACCCAAATGGTGTAGATAACCAGCGACCACCTGCACTTCTGTTTCCAACACATCCACCTATACATAAATACAAGAAGAAGCATCCAGCCTCAAAATAACCCCACCCGCCTCCAACAATCATCGACACTCCGATGCCCCCTCTAAAGACATGATAAGCTAAGCCAGCTCCCCCACTCACTAGATCCCTTATCTTATCGCTTATCACCGCCTCCTCATCCCCCAAGCCAAGCCACTACAGAGGTACAGTACATATAACCTCCCCTCTCCGCACCGCACTCACCTACACCTACAGCCAGTGCATTAAACCAAAGCATCCTAACAATAACCCCTCACTCCCTCACCCTCACTCTCACCCTAATTACCCCCTCTACCACCCCAATCATCACCACACCAAGTATAATAAAAAATGTGGCACCCCACCCGCCGCGCAATCCACACCCGCGCCGCCCCCGCGCCACCACCCTTCCTCTCCCAAGCCATCGTCGCCAACAACACCGTCCACTGCTCCGGCCAAATCGGCGTCGACCCCGCCACTGGGGAGCTCGTGAAGGGGTCGGTCCAAGCGCGAGCTGTACGTGTTTACCGTCACACCTGTCCTGAGCCTGAGCCTACAGTGCTTCCCCGACCCAATCCCCTACCTAACTTATAATCCATATCCCCGGATACTGCGATACGGGTGGCATCCCCAAAGCCCAAGCCCAAGCCCAAGCCCAAGCCCAAGCCCAAGCTCAACCACACCCATCCCAAACAGATCCATGCTAACCACACAACCCACCCACCCCAAACATGCTGATCAACGAACAGGAACAAATCCTCCGCAACCTCCGCGCCGTCCTCGAAGCCGCGGGCTCCAGCCTCGACGACGTGGTCAAGGTGAATATCTTCCTCACGGATATGGGGGATTTCGGGGCGGTGAATGAAGTTTATATTGGGGTTTTCGGGGGGGAGGGCCGGGTTGTGCCTGTGAGCTTTTGTTCCTTTGTTATCTAGGAGGGCTGGGCTGATGGCTAATCAAATGTCTAGGCGCGTACGTGCGTGGCGGTGAAGTCGTTGCCGATGGGGACGGATGTGGAGATTGAGTGTTCGGCGGTGGTGAGGGACCTTTCTACCACCAGGGGGGCGAAGTTGTGATATTTTAACCTTAACCTGCAGTCTTGGACTGTATCTCGTTTGCTGGGTGTGGTGGCTTATATACTGATGTACGGGTAGAAGAGGGAGTAGCGGTGATGGGCTGTGCTGTACATTTTATAATTCAAGTAAAAGTAAAAGTGATCTTTGATTGGGGTACGGTATTTCGAATTTGAGGATAGTCCAGTGGCTGCGGTGGCAAGATGGGTTGTCTGGAAAATCGGATCGAGAAAATCAAGATTCTTACACCATCCGTCAAAGTTGAATTGCTCCGCGGTGAACTAGTCTTAGTAGCGTATGTCTGGGTGTACCTGAAGACCATGATTGAGGCAGCGCGTGTCAAACCTTCATTCTGGAGAGTTGGCGGAGCTTGCGATCTCGCTGGGTTCGCTCTGCTACCTGTGTGTAGTCAGGTTGACTCTGTCGAGTAGGTAGGGTGCTGTCTCTGGATTGCTGCGTAATAACAGGTATTACAATCGTAGTAGTTTGGTCGCAGACCAAGGACTAGATCTTGATTGATTTCTTTGGGTGTCGCATTGTCATCGACCTTCTGGCAAGGCTTTGATGCCGGAGCATAAGGGTCTAATCTATCCCGGGGCCTGGCCGGGATGGGCCGTGAGAACCAGTCTGCATGATGCCCCTACCTTGTTGCCATTTGTCTCGCTGAATGTGGACTTTTGATAGTATCTCCGTGAGGTGCGACTTGTTTTCTGGGCAGTGCTGGGTGATGAGCGTATGCGCAGTTCATGATGTCCACGAACCTGTGGCCATCGTAGCCACCATTCTTCCTGTGTCTGGTCCTATCTCTGCTCTTGCTGACCCCGACCGACTGCTGTGAGCCGACAGAGGAGGATCAAGAGTGGCGAGGTTCTCATTTTATATCCTGCCTTTTGAGAGCGCTTGGGCCAAGCCTCATTGGGGATGCTTTATGCTGTTCCATTCCGAGCACGTGACGATAATGGATACGCCGCAGGCGAGGGATCAAAGGACTCTTGGTGAGAACAGAAATAGAGAAACCATGTTTCCCTCACTGATTGAAAGAGACAAAGAGACCGCAGAGTTCTGTTGGGCGGGTAGCATGTACCTATACTTCCATGTCGTGGAGGTGTGATCTTGTTGCCCCATAGTCTACGGAGTAGATAAAGAATATACTCACTCCAGGTTCAGAGGAGATCTAAGGTGTAGATTGATAACCAGTTAGGGTAAGTAGATAAATGGTAGGCATACAAAGTACTCCGTAGACATGCGTATTTTTAATACCATCACCCGTGCTGCCGGGAAATCGACTAGGACGGAAAAGGGCACTGCACGCGCCAGAAGGAGGGGAGTTTCTTAGCCAATGTGGGCGACGCATTGGGGGGAGGAGGTGGAGCAGCACGGCGGGTGGATTTCATTTGTTCAGGAACAGGAATAGTTCCGTCTCATCTTTCCTTGGGCCGCGCTGAATGGCATTTTGTCCCGTCCATGGTTGGCTTCCCACAGGGTCGCATCTGCAGATTTGAGGGAGACGACCACCTAAAGTTAGCTGCTGTGCTGTACTGTACTGCAGTCGGTATCTGTATCTTTAGCCAGGGTGAGCGAGAAGCTGAACGGAGCTCATCAACCGAGTTGGTAAGTTCGTCCGTCGACTCCGTCGTGAGTCGAAGGCCTTCCTTGTTCCCCAGGAGTCAGGCGTGACACATAAAAATAGCAACGGTAGTTGGACAAAGGTGGTGCTACAATAGCTCCCCTGACTAGTCAGTTACTAGTCATCTAGTCAGTCATCGGTCCATGGTCCTCGACCGGGTTGCACAGCGATCCGAGTTCCTGAGAGCAGTTACATAGTGTTCATATACCTTATCCGAGCTTGGACGCGCCGATGATCTGCAACTGGGGGAAGGATAGAGACTTTTCGGGCCCCCCCTTTATTATCCGTCTGCCATGCTTCACGGAAGCGACGAACCTTCTCGGATCCCTGACTGTCAGCGAGGAAAATCATGGATCCCTATTGGTATCGTATTGTCAGTCAATAGCAATCCCAGTCCGCTGGAATGCTGCGATGCAGAGAAACCGTAGGGATGGAAATGACGGTTGTTTCAGCACTGATGATGGCCCCAGAGGGCGTCCTCTCACTGGACCATCGCACGATCCAAACATTCCTGCCATGTTAGGGCGGAAAAATGTGGATGACGATTCATGCGCACGGGAACGCGACAGAAAAATTGACTCTGGTGTTCTGTTCTGCTCTTGATGGGACTCAGGGACGAAACGTCGAGCTGAGCTTCAGTGGCATCGCTTAAGTGTTCCGGGTACACGTGGGAGCAGCAGCACATGAATCGTGTGGATTGGCCGGAAAAGAGAGGCAGTGAGAAGATCTGGAGCCTGACGGGCAAGGCCCCTAATCATTTTCGGGCCAAGGAATCCCCCCCCCCCGGGTCTATTGAAATGAACAATAAGTTAGTGTCGCTCGTTAGTTAGTCTAGTGGATGGAAGAATGATCTTCCCATATTCTAAGTATTCAGTAGCCTGCCCTTTAGTCTATCTAGTACTGGACATATTTAAGATAGCTACCAATATGCATGCCATGTTATAGAGGAAACGCAGCTCGATCTCGGACTCCGTGCCAAATCTCTACTAGACTCGAATGAACAGACTCAGGTCTTGACTCAACGGGGTAGTTCTACCAAAGATGAGGAGAGATGGTGAGACAGCCGTCCGATTCTTTGGTGACTATCCGCTAAGCCAGATCCAGTTAGATTCCAGGCACTGCCTACGATCTCAAAGACGGGCGACTTGAAGCCAAAGCAACTCGTCTCTGTGTACGGAGTAGCTTCATCCAAAATTCTGTCCTTCGCGTCTGCTGATAGGGGACTGTGGGAAGAACTGCTCTGCTGCCGGAGACGAACCATAAAACCCAGCCCAACCAGTGCTTCAAATATGTAAGTGGCCGGAAGACCCTTCCTGGGGGCAAAAACTCATGAAACAACTGTAGACGGGACAGTCAGTAATTGAGTGGAGTGAGTGGCTGCAGTGTTTCCCAGACTCCTTATCTGCACGCACCGGGGCAATCCCCACCGCCACGGTCAGGAACCAACCTACCCACTTTTTACCTTCCCAGAAAAGTAGAGCCACCCACGCCGTCAGTCTAGGCCTTGTGATGGTCCGAACCTTGACGGAAACATGCCCTTTGCAGACAAGGTTGGCGTGCAAAGAGGCGGGAATTACGATGTGCACTGTACCACCGTCGATCGGCACTTGCTCCTGCGCTTTTCACCGGCCACTGTTCTGTATCACCTTACAGAATGAAGCCCCCAAGCCTCTCCCCCCCCCGCGGCCATGCTGTGCCTTCCTTGACCTGTATCAACAGACCGTATTATTACCCGGTCCGATCGCAAATCCATTCAGAAGATCAATGGCTCCAGCCCAGCCGTTCAGTAATCTGTCTTTAATCATCAGATTCTGGGCTGGCTCTGGGCTGGCATCGTTTGCATGGGTACGGAGTACTTTGGACGAGTGGCAGTCGGCTGGAATCTGTGTTCAGTAGGGCTTGCGTGATTTCTTCCCTTTGCTGCACCCTCATGTTGCTGGTCACTCTGGGGTGGTACAGGACAACGCCGACCAGAACAATCGCTTGCATATGAAGAGCATCCTCCCTCATCTGTCTAGGTCACTGTCGTCGAGATGATAGACTGTGATCAGTCGTCCGGGATTCGGTCAATTGCAACGCCCTCAGTACGGGCTTGTCGCCCTTGTCCCATGTCAAGGTTGATCTGGCAGACCCTACTTTGGCGATCCAAACTCAGTTCTGGAGAAGCGTATCCGAAAGTCGAGAGCTCATCACCTTCGTGTGCTTTTCGGCCGAGGATTACCGGCTATCTTGACGGTCGATGCACGTCCCAGTGGCACACGAAGCCAAAGGGCCGTCTGCAGCAGCCACGGAGCAGTGTAGAGTACTACATACAGGAGGGCGGAAAGCACCAATTAGTCCGAGTGCTATAGTCAGTTCACTAGTGGCCCTGCTGGGTGTCAGCTGGATATGATTGCAGTAAATTACTGCATCTGCTGCAGATGGGCGTTCCCCATGTCATGACACCTTGAGGTAGATTTAGACATGGGGTCGGACCGTGGATAGCACTTCATTGATGCATCATGGCCATGGCTATACTGGAGTCGCTGAGTAGGGTCGAGAACATCTGATGCGTAACGCGACCGGTGGGAAACGGTGAACAACGGTGAACAGGCTGACAGACAGGCACGATGTGGAGGAAAGAGGCTAGAATACGCGGAAATCGTCGTCATTCACCTGAATGACTGGAGCCAGCCCGGTAATAATCGCCGGGTGGAGAATCTGGGAGAGTGGGAGAGTGGGAGAGTGTCCCACTTTTTGTGCCGAGTGCGTGGGCATAAGACTAGGCGGATTAAGCAACACTGGGCTTATTTCCACAGCCTACTGTTTTTTTTCTTCTTGCCCTTTCTTTCATCTCGGGTCCCCCCTTTTACAGCCGTACCTATTCCTACTCATACCATCACTACTCTGGTAAGTCTAAAGACTAGAGGATGACACGGACGGGCCCCAACAAGACTAAACCGCCTCCTCCAAATTAATCTCCCCTTCTCTTTCTCCTCTTTTTCCTTTCACTCATTTACTTCCATTCCTAGTATCGATTAGTTAGTTGTTCGTCTTTTTTGGATTTGATTTTCTTTACCAAACCCCCCGTCATTCTTTACTTTCTATTTACCCTCTCTCTCTCTCTCTCTCTCACTCTCTCACTCTCACTCTCACTTACACTCTCTCAGTTCTGTTCTGCTTTTTTCCTCCTTCTATTCTTCATGCTTGGCTATTGTCGATGCCTGCGTTGACGTAGTCACTCACCATCTCGGTACGTTCTCTCCTGCCGCCGTCTACGCAGGAAGGCAGGAGGGTTGGGGGCTGCTTTTGACAATTCATCGCCCGTCTTACCCTCCTCAGTCTCTAACTCACTCTGATTCGGACTCTCCTCCCTGCTCCTCCTTGCATCTTCCCACCCCCTCCTCCTCCCCTAACCCCCCTCCTCTTCTTCCCATCTTCTCCCACGGTCGCGCGCGCCGCTTCAGGTACCACCAAACAGACCAATCCACCGCCGCCCAATCGAACCAAAACAACTCCACCATCCAGTCCCATACAATCAATCAACCACCGCCTGCCACCACCTCCCACCACCTCCCACCTATCCCTTCAACGATCGCTTTTCTTACTTGTCTATTCTAATCTAGATTTCTCTTGTCGCTCGCTCCTTGTCGCATCCACATTCGTTATCGTCTTGTCTGTCGCGAGACTCTTAAGGGGATTTTGTTGGTTGTTCGTTTCGTACGACCACGCCCCCTGCCGCTCCTTGAGACCGCTTTTGTTTATCACGAACTGCCACTATTTTCGCACACACAACCAGTCCCGGCTCGTTGCTATCGTGAAAGTACATCGGAGAATTTGCCGTGTTCCTGCTGATCGAGCCGTTCCTGCACCTGAACAGTCTTGGCAGGAGTTGCGACTGCGTCCCAGCCATCTGCAGATACCCAATAGCGACATAACCAACGCCCGTTAATTGCCGAAAGCCGCCTGGTCTTGACGATTGGAAAGTGGAGGAGTGAACTGCAGGAAGGTCAAAAAGGATAGTCCGCACAGTTCAAGTATCGTTTGTCGCCGCCAGCCACCGAATCAATGTATCTGCGATATCAACGATTGACACTCGATATCAACGCTTGAATACTCTTCTAACCGGATTGGAGGCCGCATTGTCCATCGGGTCCTCGCTCTGTCCGTTCCTCCGCATCGGTACGGTCCTCGAGACCCTTAAATCGCTCTTTTTTTACGCTTGTTATCCACCCACGCTCCTTTCAATTTCAACATGGTTTCTCCGACAAGATCCCTGCTGCTCGCGCTTCTGACGCTGAGTGGTCTGGATATCACCGCAGCTGAGAGCGCAGCCGAGGCGCAAGACTTGCGGGCTCGGCACTACTTTGAGGGTCGCGCAGTGAGCTCGTCTGCGATCGCGTCCCCGGCTACCGCCTCTGCCACATCAACAGTCGAGACCAGCATCGCTAGCTCGACGACAGATGCGGCAAATTCCGACACCGTATCAGTCGAAGGCTCCCCCGTGGTGGTGGTTGTGCCAGTAACCCTCTCAGTGGACGCGTATGGCGTTACCCACACCATCGTTGGCACGCAACCATATATCCCTGGGGCTTCCACGAGCTATAGTGCGACAGCAAAGACTGCAGAGAAGGCGTCGCCCCCGCCAGTTGTTCCTGCATCAGCTACTACCACTGCTAGCGTTAGCGCAACAAGCTCGACTACCGCAAGCGAGACCACTACGTCCCAATCCGCGGTGCGAGCCGACACAACCAGCCCTGTTGCACCGGCTACATCGGAGTCTGCCGCGAAGGTCGACCCCACCACGTCTGAGAAGTCTTCGACTTCGGAATCCGCCGTGAAGGTAGACGCCACCACGTCCGAGAAAACATCTACTTCGGAATCCGCTGTGAAGGTAGCTACAACCACGCCCGTCAAGTCATCTACATCCGACTCCGCCGTCAAAGTGGACACCACGACTTCCGACAAGCCATCTTCTACGTCCGAGTCTGCTGCAAAGGTAAATACCTCGTCTTCAGCCGTTGCTGCTGCGACTACTACCACCGGCGATTCTCTTGGCGGCTCACTTGAGAGCTTTGTATCGAGCTTGCTCGCGGGCTCCACGACTGCTCCCACCAGCGTTGGTAACGGCGCTGCCACGGCTAGCTCTGCTGCGGTGGTCCCGGAGTCCAGCACCTCTATTCCTGCTGGAAGCTCTGCTGGGATCATTGGCGTTCTTTCGAGCCAGACCTCTTCCACCGAGAGCTCTGGCACCGAGAGTTCTACGGCGTCTCCCTCAGCTTCCCAAACCTCAGCTACCTCAGCTGTTCAGACTCCTGCATCCCAGAGTTCTGCCACTTCTACCCCCGCGGCAAGCTCTGCGGGGATAATCGGCGTTATTTCGAGCCAGAGCTCTACCACTGAGAGCTCTACTACTGAGAGTTCTACGGTGTCTCCCTCTGCTACCCAAAGCTCGGTTGTCAGTACTGTTTCTCAGAATTCCGCCACCTCGACTCCTGCCGCAAGCTCTGCCGGTGTTGTTGGCCTTATCTCGAGCCAAACTTCCACCGAGACGTCTACTGGAAGCTCAACTGTTTCTCCTTCTACTACCGAGAGCTCGTCTGTCCAGTCTTCCGCTGCCCAGAGCTCCGTCACGTCTACTCCCGTGGCAAGCTCTGCTGGTGTAATTGGCCTCATCTCAAGCCAGAGCTCTT